TTACTGTATTCAGAGTTTTCCTTTGCCAACCCGCTGTTGTGGTTCAGTGGGAAAATCCTTGCTTTCCATGTGGGAGACCTGGGTTTGTTTCCCGGATGCACGTATAACGACAGCCATCGAGGCACTGAACACCTGGACTCAGCCTGGCCGTTGGTCTAGATGGGGGCTGGAAGGTCCGGGCAGCCTCCACTTCTCCAAACTCCTGCGTAGGCATATGTGTCGAAGGTCTTGGGGCCTCTTGTGCATATACCATGATCCAGAAGGATCAACAGTTGCCTATTTCCATCCATGTATTGGGTAGTTGTAGCACCAAAATCCCAGCCCTAGCTAGTCTGGCTGCATATCTGTACAAAAGGAATAACAAATCAGGCAGTCGAGTGTTTGATTGAGCGCTCACGTGACGTGGCTATCCAAGTTGCAGTCCTGTTGGCAGTTGTTAACCATTCTGAGAGGGAAACCTGTTAACAGGAGGCTTTTGTTGCATGATGCGACATTATTATAGAAATGTTCTTGGCGTTAGCACCTTCGTGAGAAAGGATGCACCTTCAGGGACGAAGCTGCTAAAAAAAGGATTCTAAGATTACCCACCTAAATGCTTTCCACCCCGAGGCTCAGGTTTTTTTGTGTTTGGATGTCTGTGTTTAGACGTGGGTTATTTTAGGATTTCTGTGCACCACGGTATATTTTTTACACACTGCAGCTTTTTAAAGGGGCTTCCTTCTAGAAAGGTGTGAGATGCTAGAGAGGACCAGGCCATTGCTCTCCCATGAGATTGGGGGGGGTCGAAACAAGACAGCAAGGACTCTATTTTTGAATCACAGGATCCTCTCAAAATAGGGCTAGAGGGACCTCAGGAGGCTGCCTCTAGTTCAGCCCCCTGCTCAAGGCAGGATCATCCCTGAGTGAACCAACCTAGACAAACATGATCACCTAGAAACTGCAGTCTCAGCCTGAAGGTGCTGCAGGGGCAATGGGGTCTCTCCTCACCTGCTGGGGTGCAAGAAATATTCCCTCCTTGCAAGCCAGCCTGGGCTCCGACAGAAACGATGGGTGTGAATCACAAAGTACAACAGTCAAAGGGAAGAGATAAGGGGATCCCGCATGTCTTACCGTGACTGTGTCTCCATCTGTGTTTGGAAACAGCCTGACGGTCCGTGGGCAGTGCTGCAACTTCAACAACAAGTAACACGGTAATTTAGATGCTGCCTGAATGTTCAGATGGGGACATCCCCTTGACTAGTTGGAGGTATTGTTCCTGCCTAAAACCACCATGATTTGCAGTAAAACCCCTTGCTTTATGTTACTGAAAAGGTAATTTCCCAAGAGCTGCAAAATCTTGGATTCTTCCGAACACCAAGATGGTGAAGTTATAGAATCACAGAAAATTAAAGTTGGAAGGGAACTCAGGAGGTCACATCTAGTCCAACCCCCTGCACAAAGCAGGACCAGCCCCAACTACAGCATCCCAGGCAAGGCTTTGTCTAGCCAAGTCTTAAAAACCTCCAAAGATGGAGATATCACCATCTCTGTGGGTAACCTGTTCCACTGTTTCACTACCGTCCTAGCGAGCAAGTTTTCCCTCATATTTAACCTACACTCCCATTGCTGCAGCTTTCCAAAATCGGAAACATAACCATTCCTTGGAACAGTCCTTCCAGTACACCTCTGTGTATAACAAGCGAATCCCCCAATACAGCCGGTTACATACTTGAACAAAGAGTCTGAGCTTTAACATTCTTGGCACACTTCGGGATGGCTGCACCCATCACAAGTGGCATTCGAAAATGGCTTATGCAGGTTACCCCAAGGACTATTCATGTGCCGACCTCACCATCCACTAACCACTCTGTAGATGCCACCTATTTAACAGAACATCAGTGGAGCAAACGTTTAACAATGGTTAATGCTGGGGATGATTTTTGTAGTCCTTCACCTGTGAAGTCAGACTTTTTTAGTTACTATAGTGAAATTTTGCTTTCATTGAAGTCAATGAAAAAATACCTGTAGATTTACTTGTGGGGGGAGGGGGGTAGGACTTCACCTTAAGCATCCAACTATGCAAAGTTTACAGAGAGAAGGAAATTATAACTCATGCAGTATTTAATCTCTAAAAATTACCTATGTGTATTTTTTGTTTTGTACATCAACATCCTCCAGGACTGTAAATGCTGATCCATTGAAAAGGCACAAATCAGCAGTTTTTAGAGATTTTGGATTATGACAGTGTTATTGGTATAGGTGTAAATACTGCTCATCCTGGGCATGCAGGGGAAAATAGGAAAGATTCCTCTGTTGGGTATTTGAAGCTACTCAAGAGGTTCAAGTGTTAGAACAAGTCCTGGTTAGATGAACATGATGAATGATGGATGGATGAACATGCAACGGGCAGATGAAGTGGTCAGCTACATGACAAACACAATTTATTATAAGGATGTTACAACAGAGCATGTATACCGATTGCTAGGGATACTCTACGTACACTCCTCTCCCCCCTCTCCCGACTATGCAGCTGGTTCAATAAAAAATATCACCCACAAAAATTCATGCCTCTCACATACTTCCTGATCTGTCATGGCTACAACAGCACTCCAACATATCTGTCTCTGTGCTGTATATGTACCTATATAACAGGTGCGCAAAAGTATATATGTTACCCACGCAAACATAAAGAATCATGTATAATATATCGATATACTTTTTTATATTAGATTGGTGGATTTGAACATTAAAGTCAGAATTAATTTCTACTGGTTCTTTCTAGCTATAGGCAAACAACATTGCTCCTTTTAGAGTAGCAACATTATAGGGAGAGCACATCCAAGCCATTGTAAGAATAGTCATGAAGCACAAGAGTCATATTCGTAAGCCATATGGACAGACAGGAGGGGAAAATATCAAAACAGGAAGCGTTTGCCTATTGCAGAAATTTCTTTAGAGTCCTGAAAGGAGATGGCGGATGGACTTCACCTCCACTATAGTCCTCCATTTTAGCAGCTGCCCTAAAAGTCTAAGACCAGGGCAATTAGCCAAATCCTATTCCACCTATTAGCAACCTAAGTGCTACCTTAGTTTCTAAGCCAGGGGTGGCCAACCTGGGGCTCTGGAGTCACAGGATGTCCACCCCTGTTCTAAGCAATCCCGTTCCACCCTGGTCAAGTCCCTGAACAGTCATTCACACAAGAGAGATGGCTCCTTCTCCCCCTTGCTGCTTTGTGTGCCCGAGTGTTATGGCTAGGATGAAGGCCTGTGATGCAGAGACATGTTATGGATTTCGGGGACTCGAGCAGGGTGGAACAAGATCATACTGAAATGCTTGGGTCCAAACCTTTCCCACAGCTTGGGTAGAAATGACTCATCCCAGCCCAGGGTACAGACCAAAGGCACTTGGGGAGTCCCCTAGCTCTCCTGTTCTCTCAATAAGCAGCTTTGTGCTCCCTAACCTGCCTGTGACAGTATATGACTCCCCCTGTTCTCACAATGGGTCGCCTTTGCGAGCTTAATCCACTTGGGAAAGAACAGAGCTCCCTCTGTTGTGTCCTATACAGACCACTTAGCAGGGCTGGGCAAAATACGGCCCATGGTGGTGGACTCCGTTTTCTGGCTGCCCCTGTAGCGGTGGCTCCTTTGGCTGCTGCTACCGGACCCAGACCTGCTGCCCAGGCACCCTGCTCTGCACCCACGGCCGGGGGTGGGACCCGCACAGGCAGGGTGAGTGGCCAGGTGGCTGGGTTGGGGCTGTGGCTGGGAACAAGACAGGCTGGCATGGCTGGGGAGACCCCAGGATCTTGGGTCAGTGACAGTGTGGGGCTAGGGCCAGGGCAGGGATGCGATGTGCTGCCCACACACCCCTGCAAGGGCAGGTGGGCATCAGATCATGGCTCTGCCCCACACTGTCACTGCCCCCAAATCTTGGGGTCTCTTTGACTTCCAGCCACCGCCCCATCCCAGCCACCCAGCTGTGCACCCTGCCCGTATGTGTCCTGCCCTCGGCAGTGGGTGTGGGGTGGACAGGCTGGGGTAATGGGGCTGGGTTACTGGGAAATGGAGTCTGGCCACAGGCTGAATCCATCGTTAGAGGGCAACGTCCAAATAACAGTGGAAGAGGGCAGACGACCCACCACTTAACCCAACAGACTTGTGGTGAGAGCACTTACCCAGGGAGGAAGACCCTCAGGTTTGAGGCTCTCCTTAGCCAGAAGGGGTTTGAACCCACAGCTCCCATTTCCCAGCAAACTGTCTCATCTACCAGCATGTGAGCTGGGTAGAGGGAAGGAGGCGAAGGCACCTCAACCACCCTGTTGAAGACAAGTCATGGGTAAGCCAAGAGGGAAGGTATTATGAAGCCAGCATGCAAGGAGCTGGCTCAGTGAGATGGCACTGGGCTGGGATGGAGGGAAACCTGGGCTCTGGCCCCTGCTCCCAGCTTGTTCTCCCAATGCTGTTTATGTATCAGTCATTGCAGAAAATGTGCTGGGGCGGGGACCCAGGTCTCCCTCCCAGGGCAATGCTTCCTCACTGGGCCACAGAGGAGCATCGTCTTCTTGCTCCAGGACTCTTTCTCTTGGAAGTGGCTAGTGAGCCAGCTTCAGGAGTAGGGCTGGGGGATGCTTAGGCCCTAGCTAGCTCGTGGCCTGCTAGGTAGGGAACTTGGAAATGGGACATAGTGGTTCAAGCCCTGTCTGACTGAGGACCTAGAATCCAGGCTTCCTCTGGACAAGTGTCCTCAGGGCAGCTTCATGGTTTTCTTCTGGGGTTTGTGCGCACACAGAGGAGATGTGTGCAGGGATGTGTTTCCTAGTAGCACTCACAGGAGCTCTGCAAAAGCAGTACAGACATGCCCTTAGTTGCCTAGATGCCCAAAGACACCTATTAGGTGGAACAGGCCATGGCCCAGTGTCTTCAGGATGCTGGTTATGAAGGTCGGTTCGTGATAAGGGATGGGGGGAAGCAGTAGAGAAGGGAGCACTGGTCCCAGTGACTCAAGTCCTAAAGGCAGGCTCCTATAGCAACACTAGTCCAACCACAGCAATCACCATGAGGATGCCGGCAAGGATACAGATGCTAATGAAGACGATGTCGCTGGTGTCTTGGCTCTTGATCTCATAGGTGTCTATGGCTTCGGCGTCCTGTTGCTGCGACTCCACCAGGTTCTTGGCGTACTGGCTCAGCCGGTAGGGATCGGAGCCTGAGAGGAGGTTTACGGAGGCTTCCTTCCTTCTGGGCTCGCACTGCACTTCGTACTTGTGAATGTCCTCCTGGTCCCCTGATGAAAAGTTGATGTACAGGATGCTAACGATCATGGATGTGTTGTTTCTTTTCTGTGGGACAGGGGTTAAAGCCCAATTTTGTATTTGATTTGTCTTTGGTGAATTAATATCTTCTTTTCAGCCACAAAAAACCCCAAGCCCACAATGTAGCAACATTCAGACAATGCCAAGCCTTAGTATCTTAAGAGACAAAGACTGGGTGCAATGTATTCATAGTGGTTTCTTGCCAACAGCTTAAAAGCACGTGGCTCAAATGTGTGCTAAGAGCTAGAGTCAGGGAGGTATAGGGCCTTAACAGGTCTCCTAATCCATCATCTTACTCTGAGGCATGACCAAGTGTAGCCAGATCAATCTTGGCAGACACGTGTCAAACCTGCAGTGACCGTGGCCCATGTCTGAGCCTAGGCTAGGAGGCAAAAAATAGGTGGATTCATGGCTTCTGACTATCCAGAAAGATGTAGCCTTATTTCCACAGGGACTTCAATGAGAGCACCAGGTGCTCCTCTCCTCTGGTCATAACAGGGCAGCTCTCATGGCTTGTCAGGTCTCTTCTGGGCTCTGTCCTGGGCCACACGCTGAGACGCGTTGCTAAAAGCTGCAGCATTGCCAACTCTCATGCTTTTTGGTGTTGCTGTTAAAGTCTACACGTCAGGAATGTGAAAAACGTAGCTCTTTCTTATATATATGTATATACATATAAACATATATAAAAGAAAAAACTAAGGTTTTCACCTTCCCAAAGCATAGACTTTAAGAACAACACCAAAAATCCTGAGAGTTGGCAATACTGACGATGGCCACTGAGTTTGGGTTCCTCGGGCTCTTTTGGCCCTTGTCCCATCTCTGCATTCACACGGCAGATGGGTCAGACTGTCCAAAGGAAAAAATATCACAATCCAATCTGGCAAACCTGATCTCTGCCAAGGCATTGCTTTGAACATCAGCCCCTGCCTATAAATTAGGGAAAATACTTCTTTTTCCCCACCTTTTGTTTATCTTGTCCCAGAAGCTTTTCGGAAGCAGGATAATCTTACTATGTAGCTAGCTAGAAGCAGGGTTTACCGCATGACTGCAGGGGACTACGATTCATACTGATTGCTTACCTGGGACTCGGTACCACAGGTGTCGAACCTCGTGTGGATCCTGAAGTTCAGGCCGACCACCTGGGCAGGACAGGAGGGAGTCCCTAAGTAGATCTTATTTCTCTCCAGCTCAGCCAGAGACCTCATGGGGATCTGGATCTGAAAGTCCGTGCGTGTGCAGCTGACGTTCATGGGCACAACTGGAGGGGGAAAAAGAACGCAAGCAAGAAGTTCATCTCAAAAGTCGTGAGGAACTTGAAGGAGAGGGAGGGGATTGTTTCCAATATTGTAGTTTGCAACAGATGTTGTAAGCAGAGAGTATTTCTCCAGTGTAGAGTATTTTTACAGCTATTTTCAACTTTTTTTTTATCAACATATGAAACTAAACAGTCTGCTCTGGCATTCAGGTCCAAGGGGCCCGGAGCTGCCAACTTTCACATTAATGAGAGTCTGGTGATATTTTGTTGTTGGTATTTAGGAGTTGTGTGACTAGGCGAGGCTCTCTGCATTCCCTTAAAAAGCCTAGGAAAAATGACAAGCCCTCATGATAACAGAGGGCTCTCTGGGGAGCCAGCATTTTATTTTCAGTAAGTTTTCTTTTTTTTCTCATGGATTTCACAGATATTGCCCACTTTTGCAGGCAATGTCGGATTTTGCATTTTCCACGAAACTCACAAAATTGTGATTTCATTAGGTCCCTATGCATGGGTCATCAGCAGCAGAGAGTGAAGGATGCCTTAAACCAGGAAGGCTGGCCATTTTTGGCACTCCTTGAGTGTCCCTCCAATCCCCTTCCCCTGCCTGAGCTGCTGCTCTGCTTCCTGCTCGCTGCCCTATCTGCCACGTGCCACATAGAGGCTGCCTGTGCCACTTGGGGCACACATGCTGCAGGTTGGCCTTTCCTGGGCTGCCAGAGAAGACAGATCCCCGTTCCTGGTGCCCCAGGCTGTGCTGAAGCTTCTCCCTGCATCTAGGAGCCCAAGACAGAGGGAAGTGGGAGGGACAGTCCAGGCTATGACCCCCCTGCCCGCCAGTAGGACCAGCCATCTAGAGGTAACAACCCAGAAGGGAGGTTGGCAGGAGGTGCAAAGCTGTGTGCACCTGGGAGTGTCCTGCTTTCTTGTCTCCATGGGGCAGTGCAGCTCAGGATCACCCCCGTGCCGGTCTGTGTGGCCTCAGCCCTCTATTAGGACCTCATGAGCCCTCTAAGGACACTGTGGCTTAGGCTGGCGCACACACACACACACACATCAACCTGGACCCTACAAGCTTCAGGCTGGAAGAAACCCCCTGGGTCATTGACCCCAGTCCCTTTCTACTGCCATACCACAAACTGGTCCAGCTCCATCTTATTCACAAATGCAGACCCAGCCTGTGCATTTATTAGCTAGTCAGGTCTCAAAAGTGGGATTTGCATATATTTTCTATCTCCAACAACACTCCTCTGCCTGCCCCTCTGTGAAGCATGATGCCAATCACCACCAGGCAGGAGCCGTGGCCACTCAGGAGTGGAACATCTTAGCGTATCAGGCCAACATCTCAAGTGCTAGGGGGCTGAACAGAGCGAAGCCCCCACCCGAAAGCCCATGGTCTCCCATGTTCTAGTATGGGAGTACATCTGAGTGAAGCAGGCAACCTTCTCCTCTCAGTGACCCCCTCTAGAAAATGGGATGTGGGAGAACACCCTCATAGTTTTGGTAAAGGCCCACTGAAGCTAATGGGTGACCACTATGTTGGGTAGCTGTAACGAAACCATGAAACTCTTCTTTGAAGTGATAGTAGTCTCTAAGCCAGCACAGGCCACTTGAGGTGAACTACCTGGGTGGACCCGCACATGTGTGGAAATGTGGGTGTGTGTATGTGTGCAAGAAAGAGAAGCAAGCATGAACATATTGGGACAGAGGTGGAGACTAGGGGGAAGCGCCAGCACAGCCTGCACAGACACAGCGATGTGAAACTAAGGCAGGGGCGGGCAATTATTTTGGTCGGAGGGCCACATACTGAGTTTTGCAATCCATCGAGGGCCACATGACAGCCATCATGGGGCAGATAAAGATTAATTTTCTAAATTTTTTAGGGGCCTCGTGGGCCAGATAGAATGGCTTGGTGGGCTGCATCCGGCCCGCGGGCTGCATTTTGCCCACCCCTGGACAAAGCCAGGGCAAAGCCTGGACAGAGGTGTCTGGGAGATGCCATCTCTAAGAGCGTGTCCATGCAGAGATAGAAACACCCTGATCTGTCTGACTGCCCTGCCTTCTGCTAACCAGCACTCGGCACAGTCTCTGCAAATGAACAAGGCTGCAGCCCCGGGAATCCCTGGCTGCGCTGGGGATGCCTCTCCTCGCTGGTACAATGCCAAATCCCCATGTTTGGAATTAAAAAGGGGGCAAAACACCTACCTCACAGGCTGTCAGAAAGATGGCCTAGAAGCTGCAATGAACTCTGATGGTGTAACATGCTCCAGGCCTTGTGCTTCATTGGTTTCGACTCTGTGGCCGTGTCCAGATGACCGTGGCTGTGAGCTTTGTGGCACTGCAGACACGTCTGTGGAGCCACAGACCGCATATTCAGCCATTCTTTGCGCTTCAAGGTGGCAGCACATGGGATTTTTTTGACCCCTGGGTATCCAAGGGTAAAAAAAAATGTGCAAAAAAAAAGTGGAGTGGTGCATGCGGGGCAGCACGCACCACTTAAAACCGGAGCCTGGCCGGCCAGAGCCACACACCAGCTGCCGGCCAGGATCTGAGTGGCAGCCCCAGAAGCCCCCAGGACCCCAGGTAAGGCTGCTGGGGCCAGCCCATTGCTGGCCCAAGCCTCCTCTACCCTACCTGGAGTAACCTGCCATGTGCCAGACAGCGTGTGACTTAGGTATTCCCTGGGAACAAGTAGCAGCGGCACAAGGTGTCCCACTGCTAGTTGTCCTTGCGTAACCAAACATCCACGCTCATGTGGATGTGGCCTGTGAGTCAATTTGCTTCTTGCACACTGAATCTAAAATGCCACCAGCCACGTTTCGCACCAACTATGCACCTGCGTGACTGCCTCAATGGGGAGCAGGGTAATGGGGAACCAGACCCCTGATCTACAGTGCTATGATCACCTCCATGTTTGCCAGCAAAGTGATCGGGCTTTCTACACGCAGAGAACAAATGCATAAGCCACTCAGAAAGAAAAACCCAGAGCAATCAAAGGTAGCGCTTATCAGGGTTCAAACCAAACACTTCAGCAATATAAATTATTGAATTATTCTAACTCTGTTAGAATTTCAGGCTTATGAAACTGATAAGAGGCAATACAATCAACTTGAAAAAATGGTGTCACTTGGCTACATTCAGTACATTATAAAACCATTAAAAGATTTACCAAATAACTAGAGTGCATTAGATCAAGAGGAGGAGGAGAAAATGGATCCTTTCACCCTGCTGGAAGACTTTCTTTTAAATGACCATAAATCACATCCACAACCCAATTCGCTTCCTTTTATGGGCCAGCTGGAAAGGAAAATATTTATATGGAATAAAGAAATACAGAGCCAATGCAGCCCTCTGATTTCTGTTGACATGGTTTCATGTCCAGTACCCAGTGCCGACCAGTGCGCAATAGTACCCAAACTCCACTGCCTTTAGTACTTGCTTCTACCCTATTTTCTCTGTTGTATTGCCACCAAGGCAACTCCCTTGGTGATAATGCCAATATAAAAAGTCCTAGTGTTCCTACTACCACAGGCTCTCATTCTTTGAATGCATACAGAGCTCAGGAGAGCAATGTCAAGCCCAGGTGTGTTTATTATTGATATTTAGGCTTGGCAGCGTTCGATTGGTGTGTGCCGATACACGTGCGCCTTTGTGTTCTAATTAGAACGCATCGGAACAGACTCGATTAATCAAGTCGGCTGGAGCGTTCACGCTCCAGCGTGTCTCACCATCATGTGTATTGTGTCCCACATTTCGAAACAGCTGAGAGGGCGCTTTAAATAAAACTCATCGAGTGAGCTTTATTTAAAGCACCCCCGAGGCCATTTTGAAATGTGCGATGCTTAATACAAATGATGGAGGTGTTTTAATTAAAGCAGCTCTCTGGGAACCACTCCAATTTAAATGCACACCCCACCCCTGCGCACATCCATAGACACCCTTTATTTTTTTAATCATTTCGACGGCTAATATTGATGTTTATTTTTAAGCGTTTATTTCATTTTTTTATGGATTTAAATTTTCAGGATTGCACCGAATAAGGAGTCTGGGGAGTAGACAGTTTATTAATGACAAACGTAACCGCTGTAGGACTGCCGCCAGAGCTGCCATCAGTTCTGGCTTCGCTCACCCGAAGCTCCCTTGTTTGCTTTGTCACTTCCTCTTCCTTGGTTCCCGGTCCCCCGGGGCTCCTGGGAGTTGCAATTGAAACTACAGTCAGCACGGCTCTGTAGGACTGCTCCCCCTGTCTCCACGCACTCCATCAGCCATCGTTTGTATGTCCCCTTTCTATTCATTTTGATTATTAATGGTGGAAATATTTTTTCATCAGTCCGTGAGATGACATTGATGTCTATCAACATTTACCAACAAACACTGAATCCTGCCAAGCCTTTTTATATTCCAGGAGCGCCAACCAAGTGTAGGGCCAGAGTCGGCCTTAGGGAAAATGGTGCTCTGGGTGAACTTGTATTTTGGTGCCGCCACATGTATTTTGGTGCCTCCCACCCCCAAGTCAGCACCAGGCAGGCAGAGGCAGGGATCTGCCAGGGCAGGGCGGGGTGGGGAGAGCACTGCTGTGAGTGTGGGCTGCTCACGAGTGTGTGTGCATGTGCGTGTGTTCGGTGCCCCCCTGACCACAGCGCCCTGGGTGGTCATCCGTGTCACCCACCCCTAAGGCTGCCTCTGTGTGAGGCCCACACTAAGTGTGCTGGTTGCGGTACATATAAAACATAAGCGTCAGAGGCAGTTCCTACTCTTTATAGTCGAGCGATGCCTTGAGATGGGGACTTGCTCCAAATGATGCGAGGAACTCTTGGCAGGGTTAGGTAAAGGATGCAGACCTCACATGCCCTAGGCCAATACCTTGGCCACCCCGCTGTTCTTGAGCTGTAACTTGTCTATTTGAATCTCCTCCCAAGGAAAAGCCCAAGCACGCCATGCGAGGGGCTCGTTGGATACAATAGGAAGCGACCCGGCGTTTCATCAAGACGCCGGTCCCGTCTTTT